TGGCTACATGGAAAAATATATATACAATGAAACACAAGCTATGGGGAAAGCAGAACACCGAAGTAGCCCACTGAAGGTTCAGTCCCTGGATCAGCTGGAGATCTGCCTGACATATCACTCAACAGCTGTGGAAGGTACAATGAGCTTTCCACCTCTCGGCACTCCACCTATGCTAGAGCACAGGGTTCTGCGACCAAAACATAGTAAAGCTTGGGTGATGAGAAGTTCACTTGCACTTAATGAGCACCGTGGTAGTCGACTTTAGGTGTCATCTTGCCTAGGTCACAGGGTGACTGCATATTAGACCAGATATTATTCTGGGTATTTATGAGAATGTCTTTAAGAGATTAACATTTAAGTTGGTAGATTAGCTAAAGAGATGGTGTTTTAAAATGTGAGTGTGCCTCATCCATTCCACTACAGGTCTGAATAAAACAAAAGGTTGACCGTTCCCTAAGAAAGAATATTCCTGCCTGAGAGGATTCAAACTGGAACATGGGCTCTACACAGTTTTAACTCACCAGCTTCCTTAATCTCACAAGTCAATTCCTTTTATTAACTTTGTCAGCTGGGTGTCATGGTGCACACCTGTAATCTCACCACTCCATTACGCTGAGGTAGGAGGATATGAAGTTCAAGCCCAGCCTTGGCAAATTAGGAATTTAGCAAGATCTTGACTCGAGATTTAAAAAGAGAAAGAAAGAAAAGGAAAAAGAAAAATGCCTGGGGGATGTGGGTCAGGGAGAAGACCTTGGGTCCAGTTAAAAACAAAAACAAAAACAAAAAAACACCTATTTTTCTAATATGTAGATAGATGCAGATTGGTTCTGTCTCCCTAGGGACCACTAATATGAACATTTTGTTTTGTACCCTCTTGATTTTCACGGCATTTAATCTATATAGGTTTTTGAAACAAAGAGAGTGATAAACTACCATGAGAGACAATAGAGTTTTCAGCTTCATCTTCCCTGTGGACATTTTCAAGCAATTAATGCCACTGGACAACCAAGCACAAAGGAAGATCTCAGGTTTACTGGTGTAATCAACTTAGATTACCCAGGGGAAAATGGTTTGCTGATATACAATAGGGTGGGAAGGATTGGAGGGTTCTCTACTAACTTTGGTTTTTGTCACTATTGCCGAAGTTACCCAGAGCAGCAAGCAATCCAAATTTACTGCCATAATATTCCCAAGCCTTTTTAATCACTCATTATTTAGATATTGAGGTAACTAGGAGGCTCCATATCCCTGTCTTTACTGCATTACCCAAACTTATGAATGAGTCAATATTGAGAATATTGCTGGTCACTACAACAAAGGAAAATAAAGTGTGGAAAACACTGTTCATTCCACAGTTTGGCCTGACAGAAAAGAAATCTATAGGATCACTCTTAATACCAAGGGTTAATTAAATATGAGAAAATCAAGTAAGTGCTAAGAAGAAACAGGAAAGTATTTTTGAGAGCACTAATATTTTCATGTACCAACATGCCTAGCAGTAAAGGTACATTGCCTTTCATCAACACTACTACCAAAGCTTGAGACCTATCAGAAAAAAACAAGCCACTCTCTGGGTAGATATTTAATCAGCTGAAATAGAGGTAGGACAAATATTTTCAGTTTCAGCTAAAACTTTCAATTAGTTGTAAAAGTGGGACTATAGACATTACAAATCTTTTATTCTTTACATTATTAACAATATTATTTAGTTAAATCACATTTTTGATTCAATTTGGAAATACTCAGCTTATATATCTGTAAACCGTGACTGAATGGATAAAGACAGAATAGAAGAGGTAATAGAAGAGGTGTTACAAAGGGGTTTCCAGGGAGTCAGACCTTGAACCTGGCTATGGTAAGTAGATGACAACTTTGGGTTGTCTGCAACTTAGAGTCGTGAGTGTGCTTTTAGTTACATGGCTAGTAATAATAATTTGTTGAGTGTTATAATTTTTTTGTCAACTCATATTTTCACAAAGAATGAATACTTTTCTGTTCCATTGTTGCAGTGAGCTACATCCTATTGTTTATTCCTACAGGGAATTCATCTTTCTTCCTTGTTGGCTACAGCATTCTCACTTGCTTTGAGGAAACAAAGACAATTTGGGTAGGATTCTTAGTCGAGACACTCAATTCCACACTTCCCATGGCTTTGGAATAACAAATACGTATGTTTCTCTCTGAGATACTGACTTGGAACAGAGAAAGAACACCGAAAACAAGTGAAATAAATTCTCTTGTACAGTAGCTCCCGGGAACTATGTCTTTTGATTCTTCCTACTTTGCTTAAATTGTCCTGAATCTTATCCTTTTGGAAACTCATTTATCATTGTTCTATTAATTCAATGAACAACTCATAATTTTCCAGGTATTTTTGTTTGCTTTTTACAGTACTGGAGATTGAACACAGGGCCTTCTCATTGAGTTACTTTCCCAAGTGTAGTTTTCTTTTTCTTCTTCTTTTTTAAATTTTGTGATAAGAACTTGCTAAGTCCCTAAATTGCCCAGGCAGAATTCAAACTTGAAATCTTCTTGCCTCAGCATTCCAGAGTGTTGAGATTACAGGCATGCGCCACCACATCTGGATATAGTAAATTTCATTCTACTAACAAACTAGAGTACATTTCTGTTGCTTATAGTAAAATAAACATAATTGATACATATGTAAATTTTTAAAGTGATCACAACATGCAAAGAAAAATGACCAGAATGTATTTTCATCTATCAAATTGAGCAAAAATAAAAATTACTGAAGATAGCTAATTTAAGGAAGTTGCGAGAAATACACATTATATACTGTTGCTGGAATTATAGTTTAATAGAAACTTTTTGGATAGTAATTTGGTAGAACCTGGCAGAATTAAAATCAAAAATATTCTCAACCAAGCAATTTTACCTATAACAATTTATTCTATGAAATATTTGAACATGCTTTCAAATATATATAGATAGACTGATAGGTACATTAATCTGGGATATTGGCAGTAAACAAAAAACAGGTACTTTATTCATTAATAATGAAATAGCTAGCAAATTTGTAAAATATGGTTCAGATCTTAGAAATGACACTATTGATAACTACAGAAATGAAAAAATGCCCATCAAAAGGAGAAAACTGCAGCACAATATTAAGTCTGAAGTGCAAGTTACATAAAATACATATCTATGCAACATATAGCTGCATATATTATATATATTGAATATATTAGATAGATAAACAGAAAGATAATCACACATAACCAAACCTAATCTCAGTGGTAATCTCTTAAGGGTAGTAGCTCTTGAAGTCAGCTCCAAAAGTTGCTTTCCTAATAATATTCATTGTAGTATAGACTTTTCATCCATATATATGAAATTTTCTTCTTTCAATATATTAAAATAAAGCAGATGATAATAAAATGTCTAACACTGAGTAAAAAACTGTTTTAAAAATATTTAAAGCATAGTAGTAAAATGGTAGAGCAATGCTAAAAACATATTATTGCAGCATATGTACGGAGAGCTACCAAAGCAACCATGTTATCAGTAATTATTACTTAATATTATAACAAATAACATTGATAGTGACCAATAGTACTGAGAAAATACTATGTTGGAAGCACATAGTTATATGCTTCAGGGATATCATCCCACTGAGCTTCACAACTATCCTATGAAGAAGGTGCATGTGCTCATTTCACAGATAAGACAATGAAATTACACAGAGGTTAAGTTACAAAGCTAGTAATCAGGAAAGCCAGTTGTTACTTTATGAAACCAGGGAAAGCTTGCATTTGTCTGGTTTTGGTGGACCTAGAAAGGTCTTAGAATGAGTAAATGCTTGCAGGCACAATTTCTTATTCCTACACAATAAGAGCTGCTTATGTGGAAGCCTAGAGCATGTTAATTGGCAAGCAAAAGAACCATAGTAATGTAAGCATCCGAGTTAATATGGAACCATAACACTGGCTGGCTTTACTGACATGGGGACTTTCTGCAGGTGGCTCAGCTAGCCAACAGTCAGATTTTGAGCCTGAGGATTCTGGACTGTGTAGTGAGGTAAAAGCAGTATCTGCAACTAAGTTCCTGCGGCGAGCCTGCTTTCTATAGAAAGGGGGTTCTGCACACCACTGCTCCCCATTTGGGCAGCAGCAAGGGACTAGAAGGCAGGAAGGACTACATTTATTTGAGCTGATGCTAACCAGTCCTACCTTTTTTACATTTATTTAGCATAAACCACAATGGTTTCAATTCTTTCCTGCACTTTCAGGAGTAAAAACAATTTCAATATTTAGTTTGTAGTTCTTGAGAATGACCTATGAGACTTATTTTAAGTTATACTGCTTCTTTAAAAAACAGCATGTATAAAGCTTCTGTCTACTTTGAGTTGTCGAATGTTTATTTTCATGCTGATAGAGAGAAAAGATGTGGATAGAAAAAGATGACATTAATTATTTAACTTGCAAAATTATTACATTTTATTCCAGTTCTTACTTATGATATCAAAAGTGTATGTCTTATGTTGAAAAAATAATTTTATTTCACTGCCTCTTACCTATTAGCAATGAAGTATAATAGACTGATATTCATTAGATTTTGCAAGTAGTAAATGAAAAAAATCACATTACAATTTCATTTCATTGTTAACTACATTTCTCTATACTCTGTTGCTGGTTTGTGTTTTATATTTAATGAGTGAATGAATGGAGAGTAGTTCTCAAAACACGTCTTAGTAGTTTAAGCAGTTGTCTAGTGTGTTTGTGTGTTATTAATAGTAGTAGTAGTAGTGTTGTTAGTATCACTTCACAATGTTTAGAATAGAAGAAACTGCTTGAAATGAACCATTAGTGATTTTGAAAAGCATCTGTTATAAGTTCTGTTATGTAGTTGACATTCAGTTTTTTAAATGTACTGACGTGGCTGCTGTATTCAAATAACATTATTTCTAGATATGTCAGTCTGCTCATTTCATTGGTTACTATTACATAGGTTGATGCTAATAATAGTATCCTCAGACTTACCCTGGCATTGGTCCATTTCCAGCAAGACTATAAACTTGACGAGGATTTAGTAGATACTGGAATTTTCTGTAAATTCTATATAGGTGCAGATGAGGAAAAAAAAAAGAGAAAATTAAGTAATAGCAAATTGTTTTTTCAAAAAAGTAGCATATGTTAGAGTTATAAATTTATAGTTTTAATAAAAATATATTTGACAAGCTTGCATTAATAACACTAGCAATATATATAACAGATCAATAGCATCTAAAGGTATTTGAAAGACTTAATGGTCATTACATAGGAGATATAGCTTAGAACTTAAAAATAATGCTTGCATACTAAATATGCATAAGCACTTAGAATATTCTGCAACTCCAATTTGAACATTATTTAGTTCTCTTGCTGGATTTCAAATAAATCTTTTTTTAAAAGTTTAGTACAAAGTTGTTGAATTTTCTCCTCAATAACTAGTCATGTATGTATAAATCCCTCTGTGGAACTCCATATTATTTCACCTACCAGACATAGCAAATGAGAGTTTACATGTTATAAGTATTCATGTAGGAATGCAGCCCCACCTGTTTAATCATTTCACATAATCAACTATGTTGGTCAGTCAGCTAACAAAACTGCTAAGCCATCTCAACTGGCAAATATTAAACAACTGATTTTTTTCTGAAAGAAATCAATATTTGGTTAACAAATGCAATAGAAATACTTCAAGTACACACCCATCCCGTATGATTGGAATTCTTACACAAATATTTAAACTGAAGAGATATATTTAATTTGGGGCATTAGTTTTGATATACTAGCTATGAAAATATTGCTACACATTTTATACACACATATATATGATATTTACTCATTAAAAACTCTCCCAACTCACTATGTAATACAGTTTCTGCTTGTATTACCCCCCCACCCTGGAAATCTGCAATGACCCCACATTCTAGAGCTTGATTCATTATGTCACTTAGTGCCAAAGAAAGATCTTACTAGATGCATTCTAAATATTTCCTTTTCTTTACCACCTGACCCTCATTAGAGGATCTGAGAAATGCCTGCCACCCTCACTGTTCGCACTCACAGCCTTACTTTAGGTTTTCAATTTGTCTCACCACTCTCTTAAATTTTTAGCAATCCAGCTTCTTCCTCTACTGCATTTAATAAGCAAGTACACTCATGTTGTTCCCATAATGAAACTGCTAGTGTCAAGTTTCTCACATTGTAAAACTAAAACGTCTTTTTAACATGACTGTAATTTTATGTAGTTACTATCTATCTTCCCCTAATTTTAACCTTGGTAAATTCCTCCTGGTTGACACCACGCTCTTTCATGAATCTGGCTTCCTCCTTCATTCCTATGCAAAGATCAACTTATATAACAACCAATTCAAAAGCTACAAGCAACTTCTCCAAGATTTCTCAGTTTTCATCTATATTTTCTCTTTTGAACTTCCGTTTCTTGTCTAAAACTTACCCTATAGTATTGCAGTGTATCCGTTTATGTGTCTGACCCCACACAAAGGTATGGCTTAGGTCTTTTATCCCCAGCTCAGTGTAATTTGCTCAAAGGCTGCTGTCTGAATGAATGAGTGAATACTTTCAAACCTACTGTCCGTGATGGGAAACTTTGTGTGAATATATGAGTCTGTGACCTTTTGTACCTTATGTAACAATTCAATGTCAAACCAGCCAAAAGTTTTAGAAGGAAAACACTGTATGGTATTTCATTGTGAAAGCTACCTCTTATACATGCAAGAACATTCAAGTTTACATTCATAATATGAGAAGTAGATCTCTTTAAATCATATTTAAATTTTATTTGGCATTGAATGGTTCCCACTAGTGTATATAGGACAAAACACAAGTGACTATGCATTTACAAGTACTCAAACTTGCCACCTTCTCCCCATTAAGTTAATTTTTTTATTACCAATATATCTCCATCTCCTCATTTTAATTTAATGAAAATATGTACTGAATAAAAAGGAAGTTAGATATTAAGCAAAGTGTCATCTACAAAAGCATCTTATCTTGAGGAGAGCATATTTTCTTTTGAAAATATGTTTTGAATTTTTTTATTAATACTTCATTTGTATATAATGTGCAAATTAGATGTAATTCTTATCTAATTCTTTGTGATTCTTATCTAATTCTTTGTGAGGCATTTACCTTTTTGTTTATAATATATTTTTGTTTTTCTTTCTTGTGCTTTTGGAGTCTTGTCCAAAACTATCTTTGCCCATGACAATATCTCTATGCCCAAATCCCTTATCTTTTCTCTAGTAGTTTCATTGTTGCAGATTTAATATTTTAGTATTTAATTTATTGTGAGTTAATTTTTATAATTGGTGTGAGGTAGGGATCCACTCTTATTGTTCTGCATATGGATATTCATTTCTACCAGTATTACTTATTGAAAGGACTGTCCTTTCTCCAATGCATGTTCTTAGTATCTCTGTCAAAAATCAGTTGGCTATAGAAGCATGAATTTACTTATAGATTCTCTATTCTATTTTGTTTTGTGAAACAATATATACCAGTGCAACACTGTGATAATTACTCCAGCTTTGTAGTGAATTTCAAAGTGTAATAGTGTAATTCTTCCCACTTTTTTCTTTTTCCTCAAGATAGCTTTAGATATTCAGTATTTTTGTGGTGCTAAACAATTTTATGATGGTCTTTTCCAGTTCTGTAAAGACTATCATTCATGTTTTGACAGGGATTGCATTGAATCTACAGATAATTTGGGTAGCATGGACTATTAAAGAATATTGATTCTTCCAATCTGTGAACATAGTGTATAGCTCTACTTTTTCTTTGTGTGTGTGTGTATGTGTGTGATGTCTTTGCTATCTTTTACCTAAGTTTTATATTTTTTATTTCAGAGATCTTTTACCCCTTTGGTTTCATTTATTCTCAGGTATTTAAGTTGCTGGAGTCATTGTAAATAGGCTTGGTCTCTTGATTTCTATTTCAGATAATTCATTATTGGCATTTATACACATTACTGAATTTTTGAATGTTGACTTTTCACCTGAAACTTTACTAATTCCAAAATTTCTTTGGTGGAATGTTTGGGATTTTATATGTGTAAGATTATGTCATTTCTAAGCAGTGACAGTTTGGCTTCCCTGCTTCCCACCTGGTGCCTTTTAGTTCTCTCTCTTGCTTGATTGCTCTAGCTAAGATTTTTCACTACTATAATGAATAAAAGTGATGAAACCTGGAATCTTTATCTCATTCCAAATCTTAAGAAAATAACTTTCAGTTTTTCCTCATATAGTATGATGTTAACTGTGGGCTTGTTATAAAAGGTTTTTATTATGTTGAATTTATGTTCCTTCTCTAACTAATTTGTTCAGCACTTTATCATGAAGGGACATTGAAATTTATCAAATTCCTTTACTGCATATGCATGTATTTAAGTGATCATATTAACAAAAGGGAACAGATATGGTGTATATATTAAAAAACCCTTCCATTTCACTACTTCTCAGGGAACTACAAATCAAAACAACACTTCGATTTCCTTTCACTCCAGTAAGGATGATTACTAGCAAAAAACCTTAAGATAACAAGTGCTGTCAAGAATGTGCAGGAATGAGAAGGCTGGAAACTATTAATGGGAATGAAAAGTAGTGGAGCTATTGTGTAAAACAGTCCAAAAGTTCCCAAAATTTAAAAAATAAAAGTTGTATAAGATCTAGCAGTTCCACTACTGAGAATGTTATCAAAAGAAGTGGGGGGAGATGGGGATGTGGCTCAAGAACAGAGGGTTTGCTTAATGTGCTCATGATTCTAGGTTTGAATTCTAGCACCACAAAAGCAGAGAAGGGAGATCTGTAGATAGAAGAGGGATCTGTACTGCGTGCCCATTGCTGCACTATTCACAGCAGCCAAGATCTAGAAACAACAAAGGTATCCTTTAAGTGATGGATGGATAAAATAAATGTGGCACATACGCACAATGGAATGCTATTTAGCCATAAATAACGAAAGTCTGTCATTTGTAACAACATAGATATAACTGGGACTCATTAGGTCAAATGAAAGAGCCAGGCACAGAAAGACAAAAACTGCATGATATCGTTCATGGGAAGAATAAAAAAAGGTTGATCTCATAAAAGTCAAGAGTAGACTGGTGATTATAAAAACTACTGTGAGGAGGACAGGAGGAAAGGGTAAGACTGATAACTGGGTTCTAAGTTACAGTTAGAGAGAAACAAGAGGTTCTGGTGTGCTATTGTGTAGCAGGATGATTCTTGATAATGTACATTTTTCAAAGCTAGAAGGAAGAGCTGTGAAAGCATTCACCACAAAAGATGGTAAATATTTGAGGAGATAGATGTGTTTAACCTGATTTAAACATTATACAATATATGCAAGTATCACAATATCACCTGGTACCCTATTAAAATATGTCATTTTGGCCTTTCATTATTAGCTAAATAGTAAATTCAGTTTACCATATATATAAATTACAAGTACTCAAACTTGCCACCTTCTCCCCATTAAGTTAATTTTTTTATGACCAATATATCTCCATCTCCAATACCACAAGTGGTATTGGAGAAAATAATTTTATTACTAGTTTATGTTTACATGAATGAAGCAACTATTTTTTAATAAAGGATCATGAAAATTTTAACTGTTAAGCTACTACTTATTTAAAATAATGGATAGGTTTAGAAAAGCAAAATACAACTATATGTTGATGAAAAGTAATAGTTTTTATGCAAAATCTATTATGTTGATTGAAAAATGAGGACTCTTCATTTCATTGGAATAAACTCAAAAGTTTAATGGCAGGAAAGAAAATTACTTTCAAAATTTTATTATTCACAGAAACTTCTCTACATTTTTATTTGGTAAACTACAATGCAAATTTGTTTTATTTTTATAGCAGTTGTGTTAAGGCATCTAAACTACCTTCAGCAGGTATGGCTGCATTTTTGTTTATGACTGTCTTCTGTAGTACGACACAACATTTATTTTCAGAGTAGTGCTTTTCATATTTGTGTTAAAAATTAAAAATTAAAATTAAGTATGATGATTTAATCATTCATGCATCACAAAAACACTTTTATGTTATCAGCCGGAATATTGAGCCACCTGATGGTGTAGCTCATCCTTATTCAGATCAACTCTACTGTGAGTTCCCCAAAATATACCAGCAGAAATTCCTTCTAATACATTTTCCCTATGAGCTTGATATAAATCCTATTCTTTAGTTCTGGGTTGTGATTTACTCAAAGTCTTCTGGTTGACCATTTAGAGAATAAATTTTTATTCCACAGTGCTTGTGAAGCCTTAGTGTACACGCAGCTATTCCTTAAGGGATGGAGAAGATAAGGATGTGTAAAGAATGCAGATAATGAGTGAGGATAATAAAATATTTACCAAAAGCTAATAGGAGATAGCTTCAACTATAAAAGAAGATAATTTCTTAGCCAGATAATATTCAGAGATGATAGCATCATATATTGCCTGTTAAAAGTAAACAGTGAAGAAATATTTTACACACTATTATTTCACAATTTTAGTTTATATTTTTACACTTGTGATATATAAAATAAATGCGGCATTTAAAAACATACCTTTCTCCTTGCTTCCCACCACTTTTGGGGTTCACAAAAACTAACAGCGGATGAGTACCAGGAACAGGAGTGATCTAGAAAAAAATGTTGGATATATAGACAAATTATTAGGCGTACTTCACCTCAGATGGGACTTTTGTTATTTCTACATCATAAAATACCAATTCACAAATTCAAGAACATGGCTTTTCTTTTCTATGAAGTGTACCAATGGGCATTTACCTATACCCTGAGAGGTAAGTTTAACTAGGTACAGAATTGGGGGCAGATGGGAGGCCACTAGGAAGAAGCATGGTCATTTGTAATGATATGAAAATAAAAGTTACAATTTGTGGGACAGGGAGAAAAAGATACAGAATAAATCAGAATTTGAAGGAAAGAAGATTAGAAGCAATGATAGAAAGCATTCTTAGAGGTCCCTAACAGAGCTCTGAGGCACATGAGGCTCTGTCTTCCCACGCACCTGTGAACTAGAAATTCAATAGCATGAGACTCTTGTCGGCCTAAATTCCCCTCTCTTCACAATCTTTCCTCAGTGGTTTCTTTCTCTGCTTGGTGCACATGGTGCCCATGTATCAAGTCTGTTTTGGCAAGAGGAGTCCATTAACTTTCAGTGTCCTCTTCACCTAAGGAGGAAGGGCTGGTGGCTCTACTATATCCAACAGCTGCTTCCACTGTTGCCTGCTCTCCCGAGGGAGAATGACCAATGGCTTAACTTAATTGTGGCTCATAGTATAGAGGGGAAATAAACACTAAACAAATGAGCATGCATTTACTTATAGAGGAGAGTATTGTTTTTAGATAAAGTGGGAAGAATCCTATACTTTACCTGAATAAAATGTTACAAGATAAACTCTTTCAAGTAAATTGGTTTCCCTACCCAATATATACTTACATAGAACCAAACTAACCAGACCTGATGCAAATAATTAAAAATAGTAAGACTTCCTTTTTCTAAAAATTATACAGTTAATGCAACTCTCTAGTATTAAGGTGAGAAATTTTAGATCAATTTATTTTTGGAACATAGATTCCAACTATTCTTAATGCAGTGTTATTTCTTCCCTAGAAATTATCCTTAAATACTTGATGAAACAATTGAAAATAATAATTTCATCATATCATGCCTTTCTTTCCGGTTTATTTAAATCATTTAAAAATATTTTATCAACATATTTCCTTCCAGCACTGAAATGAAATGGCCTTTTTCTAATGAATGTAATCAGTGAATAATGTTACAATCATCTCATTACATGAATGAAGTTGAGTGAAATATTATTAATTTTTCTTCTCTCTCCCGACTAATTTTCATCCACATGTATCATTGTGTCTGCCTCTGTATTACCTCTTGTTGGTAAGGAGCACAAAGATTCTTCTTTCCTAATTTGCCTCTAAGTCCTCTGGAAGAATGATGAGCGGGAATAACTTTGGTAGTGCCTTCCTGAGTCATTTCCCCTAAACCAAACGTATTTAGTCAATTAATGTATATCAAGTGCTAATTATATTAAAGCTATTGTGCTGCTGCTGCTGGCGTTTAATGTGTTCCCCTCTCACCTGTTAAAAATAAAAATAAAGAGATACCAAAACTACCTATATTCAAAGACTACATTTCAATTTCTTTTTTTCTTCCTTGTAAAAAATTAGAACTCCTAAATTTATCATAGGCAAAAAATAATGATGACATATGTACATTCAGTGGAATTTGAGCTTAATTTGTATTGTTATCTCATGTTTTAAAATAGAAGTGAGAATCTCAAAGGTTTTTTTTTGGACAAAGTATTAAATCTGAACCCAAATACTCATTAGGATGAATTTTCCTTTCCTCCTTAAACTCAACATTTAGCTTGTCATTTATGTGCCACTGTATATAAATTCACATTGAGTTTGATATTTGGAATTGTCTTGAAAATGTATTTTAAAATGTCTTCTAGAAATATTTATTTATTGGAATATTTAAAGGAACATTATAAGAAAGATACAAAGTAAAGTTCCATAACAATTGTGACAAAATGCATATTATTATTAAAAATAAATCTCTCACTACAGTCTAGTGAGTATTCCAAAACAAAGTACAAATCTGGTAATATTTTTAGAGTAATTAGGTGCAGAAATAAATCAAATGAATTAGAAGAATAGAGGCGAATTAAAGTATTTTGGAGAATGGTGATATTTCAGTTAACAGCTATTCCTTCACACCACCCCTAACCACAAAGCAGGCTTTTAAAATATGACAACATAATATATAATGTGGCCCTCTTAGTTGACAGCAATTCCGTTATTTCACTTGCATGGGCCCAACCAAGTTGGCAATGTCCCTGAGTCCTCAATTTCTTACAAATTCTGCATCTGAGCCTTTAGCATAGGCCTTTGATCAAGTTGCCGAAATCTTTCTCCACCTCTACAGCTCCTTCCTGACAGTCCTCCATCCTATAAGACCCAGGTAATTGTGATACTGCAGATATCCACTGGAGATTCAGTTTTTCACCAATCTAGACCTAACAAGTGTGAGCCTTATAAAGTGAATTCTCTTCGTGTCATTCCTCTGTTTAAATACCGCTTCCCCCAGTGATGCTTCATCTCACATTGAAAGTCAAAATTCTCATGCAAACTTTCCAGACTGACAGCAGCCTCTTATTCCTCTAAAATACTCTCTGCTTCTCTCTGACCACAGTGCTTCTATTCCTCCTAGAACTTCCTGGACATGCATTTGCCTTAGAGTGTGGAGCTGCTCATTTCGCATAAACACACATGGTTAGCAGCACTGACCTTGGGCCAAATATCACCTCTTTGCCCATTTAATTTAGTTTTAGAAGTCTAGAACTCTCAGCCCTGAGAATATTTTCCTCATTTCTATTTTTACATATCTTATCATATCCTCATGTATAGGGAGAAAGGGACTCAGTTGAATGATTGTTACAATAGTTAAAATTGTAGAACAATAATTCTGGACTTAAGTAGTTAAAATAATAATGAGAGGCTGTTTATGAAAGAATTAGTAGGGTTTAAGGTACTGAGTGAGCAAAGGACATTCATATACACACATTAATGAGAGGACGTAAATTAATGTATATACATACTATGCATTTAAGTATACTACTTGTGTGTGTTTAGTTTGCAAACTTGGCAATTAAAAAATAAGAAATTAAGGAATAAGAAAGACAACATGGAGAAGCAATTGCATGGGGGAAGACACATTTTTAGTACTAGGTATAAAGGTCCCCTTTTTTTCCTTGAGTGTAAAGCATTACAAGTAAAGGTCATTATAAGTTCTGCAGTGACTTCGTCATTGGGACATTTCAAATAATAGTAGGGCACAAGATAACTTCAACATAAAAGAGTTTAAACAATTGTTTCAGTTTTCCTTATTTATTCACACCCGAGATAATTACCTATACTTTTACATCTCTTGCATGTTAAAATTTGTCTTTTCAGTGACATTTGGTCATATGTCTCAAGTGTAAACCTACGGTGTGAGTGATGACAGAGACAGAGTGCCTCACCGCCGCTGTTTGAAGTCCTCTGGGACTCAGGTTAATTAATGAGACTCATCCTAAGGTTATACATGATCTATTACTTCCTCTAATTAGAAATAATAATCCTGATCATTATACTGGTTAGCTGCAAAGAAGTAAGATGAATGTGCTTAACTATGATTAATAGTCTTCTTTAAGCAGTGTAGATCTCTTCTGTCACTGAGTTTTATGCAAACTGGACTGCAACTCAATGTTGTTTCATGATACATATTTTTAAAACTCATAGGAAATTAATTTTTGGTAGATATTTTGGCCTTTCTGGATTAAGAAAACAACCATTTTATCATTTTAAGATTGATAGCCACAACACAAACTTTTTTCTTCTATTCTCCATGAAATAAGTATTCAGGAACTTATTCTTTTGGTTTTTTACATTTTCTCTAAAACTATGTAAATATCTATGTGTAGACATGAAACAGACTTTTGCACATAACATACCAAGTTTTCAAAGTCAAAAATTATTTATGAAAATTACAGTATTATCTACTTTCTGTTGTTTTGTCTTTCTTTTCTGTTGTTTTGTCTAGATTTTTTTTACCACAAACTTTTTCTACCATAAAACTGACACATTTGTATGCCAAAAAAAGTTATGAGAATCATGAAAGTTATGTGTTTAGAAAGATTCATGCATCCACAGAACGTTAATTATGTAGTTTTTAATGTGCTAGGTCTGTTTCCAGCTTTCATACAGTCTGTAAGTACCATTTAACTTGGTTTTAAAAATGAGAACATTCAGACGTGACTTCTTAAATCTTAAGAAACTGATGAAACAGAAGTTATAATGAATGAATGGTTCTTATCTCAAAGCCTGAAACAATATAAAAATGCATGGAAGATGAAAGAAGTCCTAAATTTAACAGTTGTTTAGAGAGAAGCAGAAAGGCTGACTTCATGGGAGTAAAGCACACAAAATTGGAGTCAGATCTCCCTTATTTAATTCGTGGCTTCACCACTGACAACCAGTGTGGACTTGAGACACCACTGTACTTCTGGACATCAATAGGATAATTTTTAAAATGGTGATAATAATGGTAGCATTGATCTCATGTTTACTGAGATAATTATATGGGTTAATACATGTAAAATTTTACTACAGTGCATAAATTTTACATAATATTAACAAATTATACATGTTTTCTTTCCATCATGAGAAATATGTGCTTCATCACATGTGAAATATACTTAGATTTCACATTTGGATTTCCTTTCATTAATTTCATTACAGGACCTCAGAGTGATTAAAAAATCTAAACTAATCAATATGGTACTTAACACATTGAATTAAAATGGTGCATTTTTCAATAAAAACTTCATAAGATCACATAATAATTATTTGGTCTCACTATTAAAATTTTGGATAGATTTCACATTTGAGATCTTCAATGAACTTGCTAAATACTATTTCCAAAATTTACATCATGAGTTAGTCTTAATAAATGAAGTATATAGTAGTCTCAATTATGATAATTTTATAGTTTTTATAATATGGAATTCTGTTTAACCTTTGAGCTTAATAATCAATTGAAGTAACTAACTGTACAATTTCATGGACTAGGCACCTTTTTGACTGTGTACTTATTGGAATTGGAAATGGAGACAAAGAAAGACAAGTTTCATTCATTGTATAAAATTCCTTAAAATGTAGATTAAAAAAGTCATTTTGATGGTAGAGATCATAAGAATAATTTATAGATTTTTAAAGCACTTAAAAATGCTCTTCTATTACTTGAGTCTATTTAACCTAAAAATATAGATTGGGTTTGTATTTTGTTGAAAACTTTTAAAGATCTGGATAAATTAGAATAAATTCTTTATCTTAATGATTATATCTAGTAAGAAAAGTATCCATACAAGCAGATATCATTTTCTTCTCTTTTAAGACATAATTTCACAATGACAATGTCTCTTCAAAATATACCATCCTAATGTGTGTGTCTATGTATAAATATATAAATATACATAAAGAGAACATGTGTAAATAGCACAAATGTTTATAATAAGCATGTATGCTTAGTAGTAATTTGCAAAAACTTTCAGATTGACAAAAGACATTTTGCCAATTTGAGTTTAAGTGGAGATAACATCATAAATGATGAATCCAACCAGAATGTCACTCTGTCAATCAACTATAAGCCTGACATCTTGATAAATTAATAACAATCATCCCAAAGCAGTCTACCGAGCTAATAAAGTTGTTAAATAAACGTGTTGATAACTGAACATATGCCCTTCTCCGAGCTGACAAATAACAACGACAGAGGCATTGAAATGTGAATCCCAGAGCCAGACCTGCAGGCCTTGTCCGTCCACAGTCACAGAGTTGGCTCTCTGCATCTTGTTCCTGTCGGTCACTTTGTTTGGCTGTTGCGAGGCGTTCTTTTCCTTTTGCACCGTTGCCTGTCTTTCCTGTAATAAAAAAATAACCTTTTAAAAACATTTAATAAAAATGAAAACTTACCAGCGAAACAAGAAAATGGTTTACTAAAAGGGACGGTTAATAAGAGTTTAGTTCATACAAAATGTGTCCAACTTCCTAAATTGGAATTCCTACCGAATTGTTGGGGTCAATGGCTTGATGCAGATGATAGCTGAATGCTCACAATAGCAATTAAATGATGTGAATGAAAGCCAAATTGTAATTATCCCTATGTGCCCAATTATCACACTTTATCAAAAGTTCTGAAGGATCACTAAAATTGGTTATTTTCTTAAACGATGGGACAGATAACTAAAATAGAATTATTAAAGAATTTGGTAGTACTAAAAACAATGCTTATAAATACATGCAATATTGAAAGTGAATTCCAATTATCTGATGAATTTTATGGCTATCATTTATATTAGATATGGCATACAGAAAAAAATTCACATTCAGCTGTAGCTATTTTTTTGTTCCTCAGATGTGTGTGTGTGTGTTTTAGAAGTTGTCTGCTTCTGTTTTCAATTTTCTGTCTTTTCACTCCGTCAATCCAACCCAATCAACTTTATTGTCCACTTTTATTCAGATCCCCATATACCTTTTCTTTGCCACATTTAATACCTTCTGTCTCTCAACCATCCAGCAAAATCTCACGAAATTAATCTCCTTACTTTTTGAAAGCTTCCCCCTCTGTGCTTGCAGGAAGTGTCTTTCTCTTCACTCTCTTCTTACTTCACTAACTGCTGCCTCATTGTCTCTTTTGTGCCTTCCTTCTCCAGCTTTGAAGACGTATCTCCTTCCTTAGACAAAGCTCTCATCCACACTTGCTTCCTACTAATGTCACCCTCCCAATCATCAGTTTCAATTGTTTGAAGTCGTCTGTCATGGGTCAGATCTCCAGTGTCCTGCAGAGCTCTCATGAACTCAGAGGTGGAGGTTTGGAAGGTGCTTGGTTCACGGGGCACTGTCTGCATCAGTGGACTCATCTCCTAAAGAGCTCAGCAGCCGAGGGAGCTGGAAGAGGTGTGGTCTGATCGGAGGTGGGTCTTTGGTGTGTGACCTGGAAGGGTGTACCTCCTTACCAGGCTCCTCTCTTTTCTCTCTGCTTCCTGCCCTCCATGCTCTGAGCAGATTTCCTTGGAGATTCTCCTACCACACCCTTCCTGTCTTGGAGCCAGCCAACTATGGACTGAATTCTCTGAAAATCCAGATTCAGCTAAATAAACTGCTCCTCTTTTAAACTGATGTCAGTTATTGTGTTTTAGAAACAAGGAAAGTGACTAAGACTCTTCATTGCAAAATTCCTATTCACATCTCACCTTTGAAACTCAATTTATGAAAGCAAAAAAATACCGGTTCTATCTTTGCACATGAAGGTGTAAACACCTATCAGTGCTAGGATCTCTATTCATCACCTCCATCACTGCATGGCTTCACTGAGCCATATATCTTTGCCTGGATTGTGGTAACCTTCTCCATCTGGATCAGTCTCCTTGTTAGTCTCACTATTGTCAGTTTTCAAAAGAACAACAATGCTCATCTCTTTGTACTCCATCCCAGCTCCACTGGCCTCATCTGTATGTCTTGATCAAAACAATTTTGCCTTTAGCTCAGGGCTTTTGAGGTTACTGTGCACTCCACTGGTAAACCTGCCCCGTACACTGGTTGGATTGGTCCTGACATCAGGTCTCTAGGCAAATTCAGAAAGGGTTCTCTAGTTTTATCATCCTTTAAAAAAATATGTATTGTGACCTGAAGTGTTATTTGATCTATTCAAGGCCAGTGTTCTCCATTTTAATTGAAGGTCCATTAAGGGAAGATTTTCCTAAATCAGTGCATGACAAAAGTCAGTACTGATACATAAAGAAAAGAATGAAACTTAACATTCAAAAGCTCATTTACAAAATGCTTAATACATTGTGTTTGAGATTTCTGGACTATGCCTAAACTTCATGTGAAAAATGATCAGTGTGCAAATTATCAGCGTCTGGCCACAGGTACTTATGTGCTTTGTGGCACATATTTCTTATCACTTATTCAGACATATTTCTTAGTCCTTCTAGTTGTTGTTAAAATATCATTTCAAAATTATGTAGTTTAAGAAAATATTTTAAGTAGCTTTAAAATGTAAAACTTTCAGATATATTAGGGCCAGTTGGATAAGAAATCTTCTTTGAGCAAAATAAATGCTGATCAGTGTAATTACCTTGCTTTTGCATGGTGCAACAACACTGGATGCGTTATGTGTATGGTTGAAAATGGGTGGTGTAATATTATTTCTGAAGTTCAAATTCTTTAGCATATGATGTATTTTTATATAAGCATAATTTCTGGCAAAAATATTGATCCTTTAAAGAAAGTGACGCATGTAGGATGAGGTTTAAATCTGCAAAGCTAAATCACATTTCTGTTACTTAAATATTATGTGATCTGGAGACTTTACACTTAATTCAAAAGGGAGATAGTGCTATTTGTTTCTGAAATTTGTGTAAGTCTTAGTACAAATTAAAAAATCTGTAAGTTCCTTAATATTGAGCTTGATAAATGAAAATTATTATGAAAAATGTAAATTCAGGTTCCATTCTTGGGTGCTCATTTATATCATCATTATTCAAACTATTTGTTTTATTTCAAAATGTATAAATATGAAAAATTTCACCAGCTACATTAGGCATACATTTAGAGAAGCAAGGCTCAGTGCTTATATTTGAGTTAAAAAACACAATGCTGTTGATCAGTACAGAAAGTTTACTCCATCATTCTTCAATATAAGTATATAAAATATGGGAATCAATATTTTGTTAAAAGTCTACAATAGGAAAGATACACCTTAATACAATTTTTCTGGAATATCATCTATGAATTACATTTAGCATTTTATTATTAAAATGCTTAGATTAGAAGACAAATAAAATGTAAGTTAGTTACATTGGATCTGGGTATTTGTACAAAATTATATATGTGAAAAACACTAAAAATTTAAGCCATACTGTATAAATGTATATTTAGAAAGAACAACAAATTAATCTTTAGCCTTATTTTATTCTTGACCACACACAGGATTAGACAATTTCTGTGTAGTAAGAACTTCCAACTACCTGAGATAGCAGTGCATAAGGGACTTCTTGTTCTTTTGTGAATATATCCTTCTGATCAAACTGGGAGAAGACTAAATAAAAGTCTTAGAGTACACAAGTATGAAAACAACACAAATTTTTAAATCCTAAAATGAGTTTTAGATTGATGGGATTTATTTCTGAATTGTAGAATAATCGCAAAAGGTCAACATTTTAAACATATTCAGGACATGAAGAAGCCACAATAGCACAACTGAAGACCCTCACCAAAATGGACTCCAGCGCAGCTGCTGAAAGTCTCAAGAATGAGGGCGTTAGTGTGCTTGAAGTAAGGGGAAAGTATCTTGAGGAGGATTAATGGCAATGTGTCTTTAACAGTGAAATTTTTAAGAAGAATTAAGAGTTCACTGTACTTTTATCACACCTTATATGAAAACAGGAGACAGTAATTTTTTCAAATCTCAACATGTACATCTTTATGTATGTTTTATCACATAATCTAGCTAATACTGAAATGGTAAACATTCATTGAACCAAATGCATGTGTCAAGGTAATCAACTGATTTCTTTGTTTTGGAGAAAAATACCAGTAGGTAGAATTTCTGGAAATAATCAAGGGTGAAAATTTAAAAACAGGAAACATTCATAATAATTTAATTTATTACAGAATTTTCTTATTACTATACTCACTTATATCATGTTCATTTCCAACTTGAATAGAAATATACCTGAGATATTCATTATATTTTATTTAAGTAACATAAGCCAACAGGAGGATAGTTAGGTATATTCACCTATATCTATTAAGAAAAAGTTTCCTTCTTTTCTTTTTATATCAGAAATAGGGAAGACAAAGCAATTACATCCTTGAAAAATCTGCTGTCCACAAGGATTTCACTAGCCTGTCTGGATGGTTGATTTACCCTGACTGCCAAGGCTTTAGTATGATATTTAAAAGAGTTAATTCCTATTGTTAAAGTTATTAAAAAGTTTCAGGAAAAAAACTCTCCAACCTGATTATACATCATCATTCAGGATAAAATTGCTCTGTGAAAAATAAAGTGCAATATTCACCATTTAATTTTCAGCTTCTTTTTTAAATTTTGGGCTCTAAACCACCAAATAAATGATATTATTATAATTAAGGCAAATTTCATTCTGCTGGATAAAGTATCCTAGATATAGTGAGTTGGAAAATTGTTGCTTTAATCAATATAAATTATGCAAACACTGAAAAGAACTACTGCAACTAAAAGAGTCATGAAAGAATATAGAACATATAACCACAAAATATAAAATATACTTATTGATATTTGAGCATTTTCAAATATCAGCCATTTGTGTTTGCTATGCAGACATTTTAAATACAGAATGCAATGTTTTGTGATCTCTGGACTCCACAAGAAGCACAACAAATCTTAACTGAGGAATATATTGTATTAGAATTCCAAAAGTACAATCATCGTAATAAACAGAGAAGAAAAGCCAAAGAGACCATTCACAGAAAACAGAAAGATGAAATAAATGAAATAAAAAATGCCTTACTTTAAATATGTGCTCTAAAAAATCTTTTTCTATACCATGCTGATTCTCAGAGGTAGTTTTGTACATTGGTGAAAACTGCTTTCTCCAAACGGTTGTTTACCACAATACCTAAATCTGCTGCTATCGATCACTAGCAAACTACAAGCAGCAAGTGATGATTACCACAACCATGGGATTTTCTCCTTTTTGTCCAATCTCAGCATGAGAGACAGACAGCAGCAAAGCACTTGGATTGGAACAAAGCTACAAAAGCAAGTTTTTGCTGCCAACAGCATCTGTCATTTGAATTCTGGAACTTGTTCTGTCACCACACAACAATCCTGGTTGGATACTTAGGCTTTTCCGCCACTTGAGCAAGGCCACAAGAATCTTTGAGAAAGTGTAGACTCTTAACCAAGGTATCACACACATAGACACAGCATTTAGGGTCTCTCTTACATATTCATCACAGCTCACAAAAGTTAAGAACTCCAGGACACCAACTGCTCTTGCAAAGCTATACATTTAATTAGCATGGACTTAGTTTCAAATTTGAACATTCTGCTGTCCAAAGGAAACAAACTCATTTTGAAAATGAGAAAGGCTCTAAATCTTAGAAGTTGCAGCAAAATTGCTGACTAGCTAATTAGCCTTCATTTTAAAAACATATTTTAAGTATATATATCACATAAATATTGTAAGGGATATAGTATAAGGACTATTGATTTCCATTTTTTAAAAGTTATAAATAAGTACTTATTTAAATGAAAACAAAACAACTCTGGGCAAAAGTAAAAATGTGGGCTTAGAATCCAAATTACAAAATGAATTGTGTGACTACTTTGTAAGTTTGGGTGAGTTATTTACTATGATTAAGTCACTGTTTATATCATCTATAAGATGAGAAGTTTTGTGTAAGAATTAATTGGAAAAATGTAGATAACAGTACTGGCATAAAATAGGTACTCAGCCAGTGACAGTAATTTTTTAAAATATAAATGTTTATTGTATTTCATTACTAAGTTCATCACTTAGTCCTAGGTTGTACTACAAAATGACAAGTGTTGTAACAAAGCACTTCATTCACTTTACCTGTCGACTGCATCACCATAATTTAGAGTATGTGTTGTGTTGATATTGCTGCTGTCCTTGGAAGATGAAAAGCAACAAAGTGAAAAGTAATGAAGCCTTTGCTAATGAACCTAGCAGGGCTACTCATTTGCTGACTTGAACATTATATATATATATATATATATATATATATATATATATATATATATATATATATATATATAGTGATGTTACCCGCATGTCCTGGTTTTTACACATCATATATGATGTGCATATTTTCTCCTAGGATAATTATATTTTGAGGAAAAACTACCAAATTTTTGTTAAAGAAAACCCGATTAGAGAGAATGAAATTTAGAAGTGAGTCTATGTCAGAGTAATTTAATTTTGGCTGTGTCCTAGTATATGGCATCATAACTCCATGTCATGTGCCTATATTATATACATATATGATTTCATATTTATAATTATATATAAAGGCAGACTTCGTAACCAGCTTCAACTCTCCCCACAGATAACATTATAAAGTGCACTAATTATTGGTTCCAGCAATAGAAACTTAAAAGGGAGGAGGAAGCTCTCTTGTAGGAGAGGCCCACACATATCCCAACTGGTTTAGCTAAACTTTCAACAGAGTGATTTCTGGATAATCCCCATCTGTTTTTGCCAGTTCCAAGTAAAACTGGTTATTGTAACTGCGTAATTTAATTATTACTCACACCATTTAACTATGAATGCATAATGAAAGATTAATTGCTATGAAAAATAATTTGTGTGCTTTGGAAAGACACAATAATAAAAAAAACCCTGTGTGTTTGTGTGTGTGTGTGCATGTGTGTGTGTGTGTGTGTGTGTTATGTGCATGAAAAACAGTCAAGTTTAGGCACAAGTGTGCTTTCAGAAAAAAAAAACTAATGTTTTTTGTTACACTCAATTGTTTCACAATTTTTTATACTAAAATTGTTTCATAGATATCCTGGAGTTTTTATTATACTTTTAAAAACTGAGGGTGAACATCATGGGCAATAAGACTAGAATGGCTATCTATCACATCCAACTAGAAAGGGTGTCTTCATAGAAAGCCCCTTAAGCCTATGTTAAATGTGAAGCCAAGGATTATGCATGTATATATTTGAAGTCAAATGTTTAATGTCTTTATATAGCGTTTTATGTTTTCCCACAGATACTTTAACCACGTTTTAGTTAAGCCCAGAGTGCTTATTCCTGATAATCGAACATAAGTTTTCTAGCCTGAGTGTGTATCTATGCGCATTCATACATTCCCTCATGCATATATCTGCACTTGAGTTTAAGAAAATTTTGAACAATATATGCAAAAAAACTTACACAGTGATTTTGAGGAACAGTGGAAATGTTAAAGTAATGTAAATCAATATATCTTGCCAGAAAATAAGTAATGTAGAGACACTTTGGAAACTTTCATAAGTAAAACATGCTTTAAAGCATGAAAAATACAAAAACAGCAATTCTGATGTCTCTTCAATGCTAATTAAATTATATAGTTAAATATGGGAGATGTCTGGAGTGGAGAGTATCAAAACTTTAGAGAAAAATTTATTTCTCGAAACCAGTGCCTATCTTCTGTGATAGGCCCATAAACAGGAACAAAAATAATCAAGAAGGTGATGATGTAAAAATAATTGTCTCACACTTAATTCATGAAATGATAAACATTTCTATATTTCTACCACAAATATAATTTGTAAAATTTATTTTATAATCATAATAGTATCAATTCATTTAGAGAACACAAAATAAGTTTATCATATCTTTTAAAGTAGAAAATATAATAAGCATATCTCCTGGTCCATTTTCAAGTATGTATTTGGATAAAATGAAAGTTTGATTTGAATTTACTCAGGCAATCTTTAATGATTAGAAAACTAGCTCTTGGTTGGGAGGAGAGAACATTTTACTTTTGTGCAATTATGTTATTTGTTAATTAAATTCCTATCCTTCTGGGTTATACATATAAGTAGATTTTTGCAAAAAAGCAGATTCAGTCTTGAAGCAAACAATAGCATTTGGGCATTTCTTACAGAGATAAGAACAATTGAATAAAATATTGTCACAGAACAATTTGCTTCATTAATACAAAGGTAAAGCAAGAATTTTACTAAAAATAAGTGTTGTGGCAATGCATACATTTATTTTCAAAATAAGAGAAATTTATTCTGTGTCTATATTTTATTCCAATGACTTTCTACACAATGATGTGCTACATGATTAATGTAGATGTACTCTTTTCACAGTAACAGACATTTCAAAGTGAGCAAGATTTTGTCCACATACTATTATTAATATCTACATTTTAAGGCTCTAAGGGATTGAATTGTTTTGAATTTTCCTGCAATATATTTATACTTTAACATAAAAAATAGGAAAGATGCTATTTTATACACTGATCAAAATTCTTTGCAAAGTATACTTTATTTTTCTCTGTAAATTTTTGTTACATGCTTTGTTGTATTTCTAATTCTCATTACAAATTTAAATTTGAAAATGTTAAGATTATCTTATTACTGAATATCTAAATGAATTAATTTATAAATATCAGAATATGGGGATATAAGATATAAAAATTAATATTAATCTGTCAGTCATTCAATACAACACATTTTACAATAACAATATAAGTGTATAATGAACTACAATTGCAAGTGTGAAAACTTTATTTTTGCTTGTTTTGCTTACGCACCTCAGGAACCGAAACTCCTGAAGTGGGCAGATTCTGCTGAAAAAGAGAAGTTCATATTAAATCTGAAAAAAAAGTCAAACTGAAAACAAAATATCAATGAAGTTTGTTATATCACTATAATTCTCTGAAATAAATGAATGACTTAAAAATACATTTCCTTGCTTCAATATTTGTGTCTATGGGCTAAATCAATGAATACCTTTTCATTAAATAAGAAATACAAAATGCAGAGTACGCTTGGTTGTGAAATTATTTACCCAAAATACAACTTCTTCTATCTCAAGTGTACTGGTAAACGTTCCTAGCTAACTTGCAGGCTTCTCTGCAACCTAAATGTATTACATTTATATTTTGGTGGAACTCATCTTGCAGTTCCATTCATCCTTCCTAAACACTTCCCACTACATTTAAAATTTTCCCTTTATTCTTTCCACTACACTTTCCAGTCTAACTCCCATTCCTTCCTTAAAATATTCAGTGTCTTTTGGATATAATCATAGAATATGGTGTTGATTTTATTTCATTATACTCTGGAAATGAGAAAAATATCCCACTAGTATCAGTAAAAATAAATAAAATATAATTTGATCAGTAATAAGATTTTAACTTGAGAGTAATTTTAAAAGAGGTGATTCAATACACTAACAATGGTCATCATGACAGTACATCTTGAATTTTCTTCAACCATTACTCTATTGGAAAGGCTGTGTGTGTGTGCATGTGTGTGTGCGTGTGTGTGTGTGTGCACATACTTGCACAAGTCCATGAGAAAAGAAAGAGAGGAAAGTTTGCTAAATTCCAAAAGCCTGAATTCTGTGGAAATTAGAGCACAAAACACAAACTTTCAAAAATATTTGACAAATCACATACATAATGTTCAATAAAATTTGTCCATGATGAAGGGGAGTAGGAAAGTTGGATAAAAAGCTGAAAACTCCTTAGACATTTGTGTGTCCCTGCAAAAGAGATGGCCACCGATATACAAGTTTCCTCTGCAAATACAAGCTGTGTGAAGGAAGATTCTGGCAGATGTTCGATCTGGAGATGGATGGGAAAATCTCAGAATACAGATATTGTAATCCCTTACCCAGTATAACTTCCAGAAAGCATCAGGAACCAAAAGAATACACAAAAGAACACTACATCTGAGGAGGTGAAAACCTTAGACACCCTCACGTTTGCCGAGCATAGTGATAGACCTCAAGAATCCAATGCATTTAAAAGTGGTGCAGAAGGAGAACTTGCCCAGGGCAGCTCTAGAGGCAATTAAAGTGCTCAGGAATACAACTGTTTAAAATGTATCTGTATAATATAACTATACTGGAGCTGCAGATTTATAATCCAAAGAAGTGATTATGACATTGACAGGAAAATCATACAGAAATAATTACTTCCTCTTGAAGTTATTTTGAAGATGCATTGACAATAGGCTTGGTAAAGATTTCATTGAAAATTTTCTGATTCTAATGATATTCCTGACTTCCCAGTCCAACTCAGTCCACGTAACAGCTGAGACAATGGATAGTGAGAGAAATGTTTGTGGTAGTTTCTATCAGGGCCAGTTCAAAGCCATTTGTCAAAATTACTCTCTTTTCCAGCTCTAAATCGAAGCATAAGTTCTGAATAAACACTGGAGACATCAATGCAAACCTTCCATTTTTCTCATCTATAAATCCAGATTAAGTGCCTTCTACTTGTATGTATTTATCCTCTATGCTATGGACCAGGAATCTCAGAGAGTCTCAAGCAACCAAAATAAAGTATCTCTCAAGTATCCTCCAGAGCGTAAGCTGTAGCTACTGTCTGCTTGGAAGAACATATGTACCTTCTACGTGGGTCTGTAGAGAGCAATTTACTGGAAATTCCAGTGTGAGATTATGGGTGTCCAAGTGGCCAGAAGAACAGCCACTGCAATACAAGCACCTCAGATAGATCCTGTCCCACACTTCTACCAAAAATGTAAATAAAAGTTATGATAGAAATTTTGAAGGCAACTGTGGGCAGGATAATATTTTATATTACCAAAGTAGCGACAATTTTCTTAGATGTTAATATCACTAGGTAGAAATTTGCCCTCAGTCTTAGCAGATGCCTCCTGCAGCAGATAGTGCCATAGGATCTAATTCTATGTGATTTATTTTCAAGAGATTCAACTTAATAAAATATATGATGTATGTTAACATAGCTAAATATCTAGGGTATAAGATATGATCAGAAAAAAGGCAAAGAGGGAATTGTGAAAAATTGAAAAAAAACAAGGGATTCTTTAAAAGTAATTTCAGATGTGTCAGAAGCCCACACAGACAAGTATTGTATGGTTCCTGTTGTGTTTCTCTTGTGTGCCTAATGATGGAGAAACATAAGTATGTATTTACTTTGATGGAAATCTCATTGCAGAAACTTACAGGGACCTGGACAATAATACAAATGAGTGATACAGTTTTAAGGTCAAAAGACCAAAGACTATTACAGATAGGATAATTAACATCCCAATTTAAGACAACAAAGAGACATCATGAGATGCAAAAGAACCCTTGCTGCCATCTTAGCAGCAGGACATGGAGAACTGGTAATTCGTGGATACCCATGGCCTGGCCGGAGGCTTCCTCTTTCTCAGAGCCATAGGAACACTGATCAGCAGCTGTTACAGATTGAGAGAAAGTGAGGAGCAGAGATGGAGGAGGTAAGGCAATGGCGATTCGTCACTCCTCCTCTGGGAACGGGAAAGCAGGTGACTAAGGATGAGAAACAGGATCAAGTGAAATCAAGGGCTCAGCGGGGGCTATACGTTATGAATATGTAAGAGAGGAAGCCACCAGTCCTGAGAATTTCCTCCAGCAACACTCAGCCTTCAGAGAGCAGTGCTAGTAGTTCACTGCAGAATAAGGTGATCAAAACAAAGTATGTATTAACTCACCATGAAAGTGTTTGGGCAAAGAGTTTTTATTAAATGAACACGCCCATCAGAAGTTTATTTTGAGTTACAATAAGAAAATCATACCCAGGTTAAAAAAAGCAACAACACATTAGAAAATAAATTCAGATATTGTATTCCTTCTATTAGTCTCTTGTACATATTTTTCAATATCAAGGATGAGTAATGTTTCAGTTTTCTGAAAATTATCATGAGCAGATAATTCTAAATGTAATCTATTTTTAATCAGAATTAATATAGAAACTTTATATTTTTATTTAATCAAATCAGAGGTGTAACTACAAAGGGATGTGATTGATTTTATTTAATCAGTATCTTTTAATATTAAATGGAATACACAGTACAGATAATGAGTTTAAAAGATGCATTTGCCTTGCAGGCACTTATTAAGTGCAATCTAATATGAAATAATTTTTAAAATTCCTATTATTCTTAAGTATTAGGATATTTCTTGTCCTCATATTTTCTCATGTGTAATCATTTTAAATTGACAATTTAATCCAAATTGTCATAGGACAAAGAAAAATCTTTGGCGGAGATTACTGGAGTTTTTACTTAGTTAAAATATCATAGGAATACGGTACTCACATTAAAATGGTCATCAGTTATTTTAAAACTACTAAAGTAGAATTAACAACATTTGGCCTCATAAAGAGTTTTTGTATTTTTTAAAGCAACTTTCACATTTTTAATCTCATGTAATTTTCCTACTAAACCAAGATACCCCATTCTTCATACTGGGAAACTGCAAACCAAAAAGACTCACTGACTAGCACCCCAAAACAAAAATAGTGACAGAATATTTGTTCTCAGACCCATGCGCTATTAAACAACAGAAGATAGGACAAGACATTTTTTCCGAAAGTTAATTTTGTTAACCAGCTCTCCATTTTTAAAACTTAGAAACAAACTTATTTCAAAATGTTGATGAATATTACAAATATATGTTCGTGTCAAACATAATTTACTTGCATCTCAGTATAGATTAATTTATCACTCAGTACAGTAGTAAACTTAAAGTAGCCAAATGAAGCTATTTTGAATAGTTTGTTTTCCTTCATACACAATTAAGTATTTATGGCATCAAAATAAATGAAAGATAAAGAGAAAATAAGAGTAAAAATACTTTTCTTTGTAAAGTGGCCCCCTGTCTCAGGTGGAGAGTTGGAGCTGTTTTTTCCATCACATATGCTAATAAAATATACACAACAACATCTCTAGGATATAGAAACTGCATACATTTTTTGATTCCATGAAATTTCTTTATATGTCTTAGTTTCATATTTTGTTGAAACTGTAATATTATATGTGTCCTTAAGGGTGTATATTCACATATATGAATAAAATGAACATTTTAAAAGAAAAGTAGGAGAAAAATGATTTTATGCTACTATTGTCTTTATTAAAATCTTTAAGTAAAGGTTATTTCAATGCATTACACATACTTCAATCATAAAAGTCATAAACTACTTTTCTGCTGAAACACTGACACATCTAAGTTAAACATAACTATAAAACAAAACATTTTAGCACTCATGAATATTATAATCTTAGCAGGGATCCTTTGACTAACCAATTCTTGAGTTTAATTTTTAAATTTGCATTTACAGAGTTTAATGGTAAAAATATTGTCATCTGGGATTATTTCACTATCTTTAAATTATAATTGCTTATGAAATGTTCTATGTCTACTCTCAAACATATGATCATTTATGCATAAAGCAGAGTTTACTGCAGTGCTGGAGGAAAAAGAGTGAGAGTCCTTCCTACTTCACTTCAAAAATGCATGCATGTGTGTGTTGTTTGTGTGTGTGTGTGTGTGTGTGTGCATGTTTTTGTCCATAGAGGAAATTCAACCAAGACACAGTGTGCGTAGTGCAATGATGTTTGAAAACTTCAAGGGCAACAAACATTTTCAATAAAAATATTAATAATATATCTTTATGGAGATATCCAAATTATTTCACATGTGTATTTCTTTTCCTTTTCCTTTATTTTGTATTAGTATATGTTTATGATATCTATTAATTTAAGAGTGGGGGATTGATACCTATACATATCACACCGTGATCATTTTTTACTCACTCTAAAACAGATTTTT